CAATGATCCCAGTACCCCCCCCCCCCCGCAGGGCATTCCCTTTTTATTTTATTTATTTATTTATTTATTTTTAAATTTTTATTAGTGAATCACCATGAGGTACAGTTGTAGACTTTCAAAGTTTTGTGCTTGGGTTTCAATTATACAATGATCAAATACCCATCCCTCCACCAGTGCCCATTTTCCACCACCATGGATGCCAGTATCCCTCCCACCCCCATCCCCCCCATCCCACCCTGCCTCTGTGGCAGGGCATTCCCTTTTGTTCTCTCTCTCCTTTTGGGTGTTGTGGTCTGCAAAAGAGGCATTGAGTGGCAATCATGTTCGGTCCATAGTCTACTTTCAACATGTATCTCCCATCCTGGGAGAATCCCCCCAACACCCTTTATTTGGTGCTCCCTTCTCTATCTGAGCTGTCCTTTCCTCTAGAATGCCCAGCTGGCCTCTAAGCCATGGAGTAATCCTCCTGGTACTGATCTCGGCTATTCTTGGGTATTAATCTCCTATTTTATTACTTTATGTTCCCCAGATGAATGCAGTCTTTTTATGTCTATCCCTCTATTTCTGACTCATTTCGCTTAGCATGATACTTTCCATGTGGTACCACTTGTATGTAAAATTCATGACTTCATCTTTTCTAATAGCTACATAGTACTCCATTGTGTACATGTACCAAAGTTTCTTTAACCAGTCATCTGTTCTTGGGCACTCAGGTTTTTTCCAGATTCTGGCTATTGTAAAGAGTGCTGCAAGGGCATTCCCTTTTTTCTTCTTCTTCTTCTTCTTCTTCTTCTTCTTCTTCTTCTTCTTCTTCTTCTCTCTCTCTCTCTCTCTCTCTCTCTCTCTCTCTCTCTCTCTGTCTCCTTTTGGGTGTTGTGGTTTACAATAGAGGTAGGTATTGAGTGTCCATCATGTTCGGTCTTTTTTTTTTTCTTTTTGGGTTACTCCTGGTTCTGTACTCAGGAATTACTCCTGGCAGTGCTCAGGGGACTATATGGGATGCTGGGAATTGAACCCAGGTCATCTGCGTGCAAGGCAAATGCCCTACCCGCTGTGCTACTGCTCCAGCCCCAAGTGCAGTCTTTTTTTAAGGGAAGTGATTTAGCCCTTAAAGGCGTGGAGCCCTCTAGGAGTGGGGAGGGGCAGTACCTGTGAGGGCCAGAAGGGAAAAATGGCCCATTCAGTGATGATTAGGGAACCCTACCTTTATTCCAGGTCAGGCTGTGCAAACAGCTCTAGAAAGAGAGGTCTAGAAAATTTCCTTTAGGTCACAAATAAGCTCTTCTCTCATTTTCAGGGCATGTTTTCAGCGTTCATGAACACTACTTTTGATTAGGATTTCTCCTACCAGCATAGATTGCTAGAGTCACATGATTGCTATCAGAGAATAGTCTCTTAGAACACATGCTAACCCAGAGACTTAAGGGAATCCACCCTTGTGGTCATAAATATTAATGTTTTAAAATGAGTAATCAGCTTTGAATTTTCTCTCATTTCTGTGTTGTGATTTTATGCCTAGGAGATGATACATTACATAATTATAGCTCACACCACCATCTTAACAAACCACCAGGTTCATCCTTGAGTTTTTTGTGCTTTTTCATTGTTCTTTCTAGATTCCAGTTAATGTGATTTGTTAAAAATCTCATGCTAAAATGCCTCAGACAGATAGAAACCCCCTTGACTGTGGATGTGTGTGGGATTAGATATAGCCCTAAGACCTCATGCTCCTCACTCTAGCACCCCTCACTACTGGAATCTACCTCTTTTTCGATCCGATCCGTAGGAATTCCTCCCTGTTTTGCTGAGGGGCTCCCTGCTTAGAATTCTTTTTTTTATTATTTTTAAATGAGTCACCATGAAGTACAGACTTACAAACTGTCCCGCATAGGTTTCAGTCATACAATGATTGAGTACCCATCCCTCCACCAGTGCCCATTCTCCACCACCTGTGATCCCAGTATCCTTCCCACCACCCCCAACGCACCCCACCTCTGTGGCAGGGCATTCCCTTTTGCTCTCTTTCTCCTTTTGGGTGTTGTGGTTTGCAATTGAGGTATTGATGTTCGGTCTATAGTCTACTTTCAGCTCACATCTCCCATCCCGACCGGGCCCTCCAAACACACTACTTGGTGTTCCCTTTTCTGTCTGAGCTGCCTTTCCCCCCAGCATGTGAGGTCGGCTTCCAAGCCAGGTTCCCTGCTTAGAATCGTGTCTGATTTTGCCTGGTGCTTGCTTGCTCAGAGACCTTAGCAGGAGATTGCGTGGAGGCAGAAAATGGGGTACTGGGAAAGGCAAAGGTGAGCCAGAGCTCCTTTTTCACGGTTGCTGTCTCTAGCTATGCCTCGTATTGTATCCGTACGTCCTCCCAACCCCATTGTTCAGACTCCTGGCTCTCCTCTGGCTCCCTGGGCATTATTATCTCTCTGGCAGCAGTGTTCCCTCCCTGTGCATCAGAGCTAGGCCTCATTTGCATTTCAGCTCTACCCTAGATCCTGTCTCAGCATTGGCTGCTTTGTGTATTGATAGAAGTGGATCTGCATTTCCCTTGTCTGTAACTGGCTCCTGTTTATAATAAGCCCTGCCAAATAAAATACCCTTCGAATTTTAAGTGTCCCTTGTTTAATAGTTCTTGTGTCTTCTAAAAACCTGCCTCTTAACCTGGATTCTTAGGATTTCTTCCCACCCTCTGCTGAGATTGTGATGGCCTGGGGTGACATCCATGCCTGTTTGGCACTTTGCTGTGGAACTTGTTCCTGGGCTCACTGAGGGCCACACATTAGTCAGAGAGGTCACATACACATGGTTTCAGTGCTGCCTGCTGGAAATCACTTGAGCTACCTGGATTGTATTCATTGTATTCAGTGGTGTGTGGGTGGCTCTGGGGTTTGCAACTCCCAGCCTTACACTTGGAACACAGGAGCATTGCGCATTTGCCACTGAGTCTTCTCTGACCCCCTTAGCCTGGATTCCTGTATCTGTATCTCAGACTCTCATTCAAAGCATGTGCATTTTCCTCCAGTGTCAAGAGTACTTGATTTGTCGTGTCACCTTGGAAGAAACCAGACCCATGAGCAACTTTCCTACCTTGTGTAGCCCATGAGAAATCTGCTGCGTTTTTTGTTTTGTTTTGTTTTTATTTTTCGGCTTCATCCAGTAGCTCTCAGGGGCTACTCCTGCCTCTGTGCTTAAGGTCATATGCTCTGGGGACCTTATGAGGTGCTGGGTATAGAACTCAGGCCTCTGACATGGGTCCTATCCCCAACTTTCCCTCCAGTCATAGAAACCTGCTTTTATGCACTTGTGTTTCAAGGGCTCTGACTTTTCACAGCATCTCTGTACCATCACGTCTGGTCTGTATACTTTTCACTTAACACTTAAGGGCCTATCTGGGCTTATTTAATATTATTTCCTAAATGGATGTAATTGTTGACTAGCTATTACTGATTACCCAGTTCTCCCTAATTTTGTGGTAGCAGGTTGTTCCAGCTTCATTTCAGGTTTTTCTGGAGAAGCAGCTGACCACACTTTTCTTAGAGGTGTTAGAGGCCCCAAACCCATTTCTCATAAAGGTCCCCTGTTCCTCTCTCCTGGGAGAAGACGTAGTGGTAACACCTGTTTCATATCCGGAAAGCTTTTCCCTCACTTTATTTCCAATTCAAATACAGCAGTAGCTGCATAAAAAAATGAACCCTGCTCATTTATGATATTCTCATGGCATTTACCAGATGTACCCTCTGCAATGCAGCACCTGTCTCTCTGTCCCTGTGTATGATTCTGTGTTGTATTTCATGATAGTTATATATAGCATATAACAACTATATATTGCATCCATCACATCTATTTATGCACACAGACCCATGTCGTCTGTCTTCAGCCAGATTTCTCCTGTGCTGCAGACCTACCTGTTTTTCACTTGGTCTCACTGACCAAAACTCAATATGTCTGCGGTAAATGTATCCCCTCCCCACACAAACTTGCCTCTTCATCATTCCTCCTCTGAGCCAGCAACCTCTCACTGTCTCTCACCAGAACCTTCATTTCATCTACTTGCTCTCCCTCAGCTAATGACTCACCAAAGTCTGTGGATTCTACCTCTTAAGTCCCCTTTCATCAGTTCTCTACCTCCTGTGTGGTCTTACTTAGATTGCTGCCCCGGCCTCCCTAAGGGTCCTTCTGCTTTCATTCTTCACCGCCGGTATTTCACGTGGCTTGTAACATGCTCCTTCTAAAAACTCAGCTGTGGTTTCCTTACTGAAGCGGTTGCTCTCTGCTCTCCACAGCCCTGCTTGACTCTGTTTGTCTATGCTCGGTTTGTCTGTGCTCAGTGCCTGGAAGCTGTGCACTGCCCACCCTGGACCACTTTGCCCATTGGCTTCCCTGGGGTGCACTTAGCCGATGAGAGGCCATGAGGGAGGGCCAAGCACAGCCACCAAGTTCTGAGCCATTGTCTTCCCACCTCTGTGAGCTCCACTGACACCAGGCTCTGGTCTTGCTGCTTCCTGCCTAGGGCAATTCCTGCTGTGGGCCAGGCCTGGGAACTTCCTGGTAACTTATTAGAACTAATAGCCGAATTAATCAGCCAGTATCTTCACAACATCCTTTTCAGTTAAACCCTTTTTCCTGCTGAGACATTGATACTGAAGTTAAAATTCCTCAGTGCTCTGCTCTGAGCAGGAAGTCCCCATTCCTGAAGAGTCACAGGGCTTATCTTGCTAGCTGCATTTCTTGCTATCATGAATTTCCTTTGAATGGCTGAACCACTTCATGATTCCCCTTTGCTCTGTGGATTTCACACACTGGTCCCCGGGATTCCCTGACTTTTGTCTTACTGCTCTGACTTTTCCCTCCACACTTCCCTCACATTTCTTCTTTTCCAGGAAGCTGCCTTCAGTTCCTGCCCTCTAGTACAGAAGAGTCTGTCCACTTACAGTGCCCTCTGTATGTTGCAAGAGTATTGACATGGAACCCTAATTTTTTGTCTGTCTCTTTTTGGACAGAGGAAGGAGTGTCACTTCCAAGGTGTAAAACTTTGAAGGAAATGGATGTAATTAAAACTTCTGAGGTAAAATGCTTCTGCCACCATCAAAATTTACAACTGGAATGGAAGTACGTTTGGTCAACTCTGCAGGTAAGAGTCTAATTTCAAACATGTCCTGGGAACAAGGAAATACACTGTACTATTTTGAGAATGAAAGTAACTTTGTATGACAGAGAACTGTGTCTCAGGAGAACTGACTCTGGGATCCCACATACTTAAGAGGGGTTGGGGCCCGTGTAGGAAAGAACATTAATTTTCCATCTCTTCATTAACCCTTCTCCAAACCACTCCAAGTAAGTAGCCATGTAAGCAAGTGTACAATGCCTGCTGTTCAGACACAAGACAACAGCCCTCCCACTCATCAAAATAATTGCTGTTCCAAGCCCCTCTAAGTAGAAATTTGGAGTTAACCTCCAGTCTCAGGTATGACCAAGTTAGTTCTTCAGTATTTAACAAATATTAATTTGGTACTTAAGTGTCAAGAACTAAGCTCTGTGATACATCAGTAAACAAGTCAGTTGATCACCATTTTCCCCAAGCAATACCTGTGACTAGTAAAGTCAAATTCCTCAGAAATCTCTGATTTTGTAAATACTGCTTTTCTCTTCTTCTTTATGTCCTTTGCGTAGTTAATTCAGAGCAATGTCCTTTTTGTATAGACACAGGAAGACAGTTAATGCTATGCTTTTGTAACTTGGGGGTTACTTAACTCCTAATAATATTCACTCCTGAGCATCTGTTTTCTCGACTTAAACCTCAGTTGCTCTTAGTTCCTCGAACCCCAAAAGCAAGGTCCTGACAAGGGACTGGATGGACCCAGGGCAAGCTGTGAACTACCCTGGCATTGAAATGGGCCAGGCCCAAATGCCATAATATTTAAGTATAAGTTAAGAGCGTGATCGTGGACAAATTCTGTCATGATCCAAAAAGTAACAACTAGATTAGGACCCTGCTAGGGTTAGGAAAGACTAATCTGGCCTGAGCACTGTAGTCTGAGATCTATAGCAAGATGGTTCCAGGAGAGCAATCCTGTAAGCTTAATGTATCTCTTACTGTGTCCATACAAAATAACTAATATTAAGAAGTAGAATTAAGATGAATGTTTATATGGTTATTGAACTACGGAAAGGAGAAACGTACCCATAGATGATATTTCACCCTTACGCAGGTTGTCTTGCTGATTGAGAATCTATCCTAGAAGAAGCTTCCCCTGAGGGAAAGACTTTACTTCTCTTCGTTGTATGACCACACCTGTGTGCAATTGTAACCCCAACCCCTCATGATTTGGGATATAACTAAGAGTGGGCAAGGAGAGAAAAGAGAAGAATGAGGGAGCAGGCTCTGGAGAGGAGGAAAAGGAGAATCGGGGTAAGGAGAATCAAGAGAGAATGGAGATGAGATTGGAGTAAATTGCAGTTGATACCAACCAGTCTGGCCCTTGTTTCCTCCTTTGTCTGCCCATTGCCATCAGCTGTCCCGGGTAGGGAAGCGGCCCGGGACCACCAAACACAGGTGGTGAGAGAGAGCGTGACTTTTGTATTTATTTTTTGAATACAGACTATGAGACAAAACAGTAAGGTAATTGATGGAGCTAAAAAAGAGTATTAGAATGAGTCAGAAAAGGTGGCATTTGAGGAAGTTTCACTAAGTCAGTGAGTTACAAATGATTGGGGAAGGAGTGGTCCAGGTTGAGGAAACATCTTGAACTTTTCATGAGGCACAGGATGTGGGTTCATTCCATTACTGATAACATACACCATTTTGATCAGTTGGTTAAGTAGGGATCTGTTGATTTATAGTTTACCTCAGTAAAATGACTCTGTCCTCTCAAATGAGGAGATAATTTAAAACTTGATAATTCAGTCTTTTCCATTTCAGTTTTATTGCCCATCAATGAGACTTGCCTGAATTAGATAATGTCTGTCACCTGTTGATTTTTTTTCATTGTCATCCTTTTACATGGAGTGATTCATTGTCATACTTCTATAGGGAAGAGGTGTTTTTTTTTAATTAATTTTTTTTTTTTAATTTGGGCACCATTCCTAGCAGTACTCAGGACTTAGTTCTGGCTCTACTCTCAGGAATCACTCCTGGTGTGCTCAGGGGACCATACAGGGTACTGGGAATTGAACTTATGCTTGCTGTGTACAAGGCAAGTATCGTAAGCCCTCTCAGGCCCAAGGGAAGAGTTTTTGTACAAAATAGATGTATATAAATTCTTCCCACATGAGACCACATCTATGTAAAGTCATGGATTGCCAATTCTTCAACCGCCCGTGACTCTGGTTATTTATTTTTATACTCATCCTGCCATGGAGTTGTTCAGTAAGCACCCTTCAGTCTAGCTCCTGTGCCTTTCTTAGTTTGAGCATTTCTTTACCTGATGGCAACAAGCATTTTATTTTTTTTGAGTCATACCTGGCAATGCAGGGGTTACTCCTGGCTCTGCACTCAGGAATTACTCCTGGCGGTGCTCAGGGGACTATATGGGATGCTGGGAATCAGACCTGGGTTGGCCGCGTGCAAGGCAAATGTCCTACCCGCTGTGTTATCGCTCCAGCCCCATTTTTTTTTGTTTATTTGTTTTAAACAAGCATTGAATGTTAGGTGTGATTTTATGAGTGGGACATCATTGTCACCTAAGTGTATCCACTCATACACCTGCACATATGTCTGTTTCTTTCCATCTGTGAAAGTCGTGGGTTCTGACATCTGAAGTACCACTGGATTCATTCTTATCTCCCTTTTTTCCTTATTTACAATTTCCCTTTCTGATAATGAGAAACCTGGCTCCCCATTTTTTTTTTTTTACTATATTGAGTTATTTACCTTAACTTGGAATACACTGAAAGTAATTTCGGAAAATCTAAGCTGTGTCATTGTGAAAAACAAATGTCATAACAGGTGTTCAATATTCTACTGTGTTTACAATATTTTACCTTTATTTTGAGGGTATATGGCCTGAATACAGCACTCAGAGGATACTTAGGCTCATTCATTCCCACCCATGTACCCTACAAATACAGTTCTATTATTAAATTGAAATAAATTTATGTTTATATATTTTTATTTTACAGTTTTCCCCCATCCTAGTTGATTTTTATTATAACTTTTTAGTATTTATATTATTAATGTGACTCAAAAGTCTAATATCTACCAAAGTTCACTGTATCACTGTCAGCCTGTTGTTCATCAATTTCCTCGAGCAGGCACCAGTAACATCTCCTTCGTCCTAGCCCTGAGATTTTAGAAGTGCCACATTCGAGGCTTTTTCAGGGTTAGGAGAATGAGACCCATCATTGTTACTGGTGTTTGGCATACTGGATATGCCACGGGGAGTTTGCCAGACTCTGCCGTGTGGGCAGGTTACTTTTGGTGGCCTGCCAGAGTAAGAACTAGATAATAAGATGTCTTCTGGGAGCTGGGTTTTATAGTCCCTGGGTCTTGGCTATTGATGGCATTACACGACCCCGGAGGCAGTTGGTGGGTGTAATGCCTACCTGCTGGAGGATGGGGGATCTGGGTGGAGGAGGCCCAGTCCCAATCTGAGCAGGCTTGGAGATCTACGCCCCGGGTATTGCACACCTGGGTTCCTCTGCCAGTTTCTTCATGTGTGAGTCTCATCTGAATGTGTGGAGAGTGGTCTTAAGCATGGCTGTGGCTGGAACCGGAGGTCTTCAGCTACCAAAATTATTCTCAAAAAATCTTTCCTCCTGGACAGACATAGAAAGATTGCACTCATTTGTGGAGTATAGAGTAATAGAATGGGAGACTAACACCCAAGAATAGTAGAGATAAGTACCAGGAGGATTACTCCACAGCTTAGAAGTCAGCCTCACATACTGGGGGGAAAAGGCAGCTCAGATAGAGAAGAGACCACCAAGTAAAGGGTGCTAGGATGGCCCACTCGGGATGGGAGATGTGGGCTGAAATTAGACTATAAACCGAACATGATGGCCACTCAGTACCTCTATTGGAAACCACAACACCCAAAAGGAGAGAGAGAGAGAGCAAAAGGGAATGCCCTGCCACAGAGGCAGGGTGGGGTAGAGGGGACAGGGTAGGGGTGGTGGGAGGGATGCTGGAACCATTGGTTGTGGAAAATGGGCACTGGTGGTGGGATGGGTACTCAATCACTGTATGAAACTCAAGCATGAAAGTTTGTAAGTCTGTAACTGTACCTCACAGTGATTCACTAATTAAAAAAAAAATCCTTCTTCCTTTATTCTCTTCACTCCTTTCCAGTATTTGCAGATGATACTAGGAACTAAGTAGTTTACCAGGAACCTAGTATATCTTTTCCTGTGTTTCTTTACTGGAAAACTAAGCAGTGATATGTGTAGATGACATTTAAAACCTTGAAACTAAGAAATGAGTTTGAATGAAGAAAGGAGAACCCACAGTTGGACCTGGGCCAGTCTTGTATTAATAAGTCAGGCAGACACCAGTTGAGGAATGAGAGGAGGAGTAAATGGTGGAAAAGGAGATGTTCTGAAAGCCTTAGAAAGAGAGCATCACAAGGAGAAGGGAATGATCAACAGTACCAAATACTGTTAGGGGCTGGCGTGATAATATAGCCCATAGGGTACTTGCCTTGCACGTAGTCAAGATCGATCCCTGGCACCCCATAAACCCCACCAGGAGTGATCCCTGAGTGCAGAACTAGGAGTAATCCTGGAGCACTGCCAGGTGTGTCCCCCAATCAAACAAACAATAAATATTGTTCAGGTGGACTGGCTGCATATGATCTGCATATTCAGAGAATGGAAGAAGGCATTTGGAGACTGCAGCATGGTTGGCTTGAGAGAAGAATTTTATTGCCATGGGAAGTAAGGAAAAAGGGTGAAGGGGGTGATAATTGGAGGGGAAAGTGGATCCATGGGAGAAAGAGTAGGGAGGGTGATGGGGGGGGGGGAGAGAGGGAGAGAGAGAGAGCTTGCCTTTAGAACCAAGTATAAATCTCGGAGGCAGGCATTCCCTCCCTGCGACAGGAAGTAGAGCTTGTGCCTGCAGATGTTGCTAGCTGGGTGGGAGCCAGGAGTAGGTCAATGACCCCTCCATGCCCTGAATGTGGATAGGGACTGGCAGTGTGGTATTGCAGATGGAGGAGTTGGAAATCCTGGTCGTAGAGGGACAGTGTGGCCAGGCAGCCTCTATAGAGAGGCTGCCATGGGCTCTTAGATCTGTAGTCATGGTTTGAAGCTGTTTTCTTCTGGACACCAGTTTTCGTGGTCATAAAAGCGGAATAGGTGGAGAGTTTGACAAAGCACGAGGAATGTAAAGGAATTCAGTGGACATGCAGGGGAGTGGTTTATAACATACGGAATTTAGAACCAAAGGGGTCAGGGGCTGAGGAGATAGTAGAGTGCTGAGGGTGCATGCCTTATATGCATCCAATTCGGGTTTGATCCCTGGCACCACATGCTGTACCCTAAGCATTATGAAGATAGCCCTGGAGACCCCTGAGCATGACCAGGTGTCATGCTGGTGGTCTCCAGCAGCACAGGCCCCAAGCAGCACAACATTCTTGGGCCCTGTGGTCTGAGTATTGCTGGGAGTGGCTCTTGGACCCTTAGGGCAACCTTGAGAGGTTCGTCTCCCCTCTCTCCACCTCCAAAAGTGCTGAGAAAATCAAGAGGAGGGAGGAGAGCTGTTTGATTCACAGTGGGCTTGTTGGGATTGGACAAGAGTTAGTCGGTAATAACTCACAAGGCCACAGGAAATGCAGCCTGTTCGGGCACTGTAGCTTGCACTGATAAAAATGTATTGGTCATCTGAGTGGTTATCTGAGGTGGGGTGAGAGGCAGGAACAGAAGAGGGGAAGATATCAAAGAATCGGTAGGCCAGGGTATGGGAAGGAGTTTAGTGCGTGTGTTAATGTCCACACTGCTTGGACAAGCAGTGTGGAAAGAGGCGATGGAGAGAGAGGAGCAGTGATCAAGGAACTTCAGTGCAGGAGAAGCGAGGCCAGGTAAGCCTGATGATGGAGACTCATAGCTGCTGAACTCCTTCCCGGCCTGCCCTAGTCCTGGAGACAAAAGGGAAATACAGAAGGACAACCAAAGGCTGCAGCCGAGTTGTCATTTCATGATCACTGGGTTGTCACCATCCGCTCAGCATTGTAGCTCATTCTTGCTGGTGAGGCTTGACTAGAACCAAAGGTTGGTTATGGTCCTCCTTTAGGAGGTCTGGGGTGAGGAGCCTAAATTATCCCTGATCAGCTTCCAAAGGGAAGCGCCTTCTCCATCACAGTAGGCAAGTGCTAGTGATAACAATTCTGTTCTCATTGTGTTTAGAATCAAATAGTTTGCATCCTACTACTTTCTATCTCATCCTTTTTCATATGTCCCATGGCTGTAATAACCTCCAAAGAGAGTCAGATCAAACACAATTCAGGGGAGGGAATAACCACTTTCTTTTTTAAAAAAATGATTATTATTTTTAATCGAATCATCGTGAGATACAGTTGCAAGGCTTTTGTGATTGGGTTTCAGTCATACAATGTTCCGACACCCACCCTCCACCAGTGTACATTTCCCACCACCAATATTCCCCATATCCCTCCTGCCAATCCCTCTCCCCCTTCCCAGCCTACTTTGTGGCACCCAGTTTCTCTCTCTCTCTCTCTCTCTCTCTCTCTCTCTCTCTCTCTCTCTCTCTCTCTCTCTCTCTCTCTCTCTCTCTCTCTCTCTCTCTCTCTCTCTCTCCTCTTTTGGGAATCATGGTTTGCAATGCGGATACTGAGAGGCCATCATGTTTATTCCTTTACCCACTTTCAACACTCATCTCCCATCCAGAGCCATCCCTTCCAACCATCATGTCATAATGATCCCTTCTCTATCCCAACTGCAAAAGACACTTTTAAACACTTTTAAACTTTTTAAAGGTACTGTAGTGTGTGTTGGCACTAAACACACACCAGCTTGGGATTAGAACGCCAACATGTATTTTACCATGGCCTCACTCTGCGGCTCGCTTTACTCCTCTCTGCCCTTGACTTTGTGGAGCTTCTTCAGGGCTGGAGGGCTGGCTCAGTATGCTGAGCACACACTCTGCATGTGGGAAACCTTGTTTCTGTCCTGTTGCCACATGGACTCCCCAAGCACTGCTGGGAAGTGACCCATGAGTACAGAGCTGGAAGTAGCCTCCAAGCACTGCTGGGTATGTTCCCTCCTAAACTCAGCTCCCCCAACCCCCACCTCCCACCCAAGAAGAAGACCCTTGACAAAGTTGTAACTGCTGCACATATGGATTTGTTTTTCTTGCTTTCTAGGTGGACATTACCAGTTCGGGTCTGTTCAGTATTGTTTACATCACCGAAAACCATAATTGCCAGTATCCAGAGACCCTTCTATCTTTCATCAGATGTGTGATTCATAAATTTTGGATGCCAAAGGAATCTAATGAAATAACCATGATTATCAATCCATATGGGGAGACCGTGTGCTTCTCAGTGAAGCCTGTCTGGAAGGAACTGGTCTATAGAGTCAGTGTGACTCGAAACAGTAAGTCCCTTTCCTCTCTCCTAGACTTTCTCAGTTTGCTTTTTATGGACATTTCAGTAAATTCTCTTTTTTTTGACTAAACAACACACTGATGTGGTGTGTGTGTCTATGTGTTTTTTCTTCCAGTTGTGGATTTCAAACTCTTCCTTGTGTTTGTGGTGGGTGTTTTCATCTTCCTTTATGCAAGGACTTTGAGTCAGTAAGTACTTACTTTTAACTTCTGAACTCCATGAAGCAGAAAGACTGTAGGCCTTTTCTGTCTCCATGTTTGTAGTTTTTTAGGTTTTGCAAACAAGAGGTCTAAAATAGTGTTTGTGGGGCTGGAGCGATAGCACAACAGGTAGGGCGTTTGCCTTGCACGCGGCCGACCCGGGTTCGATTCCTGGCATCCCATATGGTCCCCTGAGCACCGCCAGGAGTAACTCCTGAGTGCAGAGCCAGGAGTAACCCCTGTGCATCCCCAGGTATGACCCAAAAAGCAAAAAAAAAAAGTGTTTGAAAGGTCTTTTAAACTAATAATAGTTATTTGTACAGCATGATATATATGCATATGTGTGTGGTATGGTACTTTCATATACTTGGCGCTTAACCTTTTATTAATATGCATCATTTTGTTTTATCTTCTTAATTATATAGGATTTTGTTATTTTTTTATTTTATAGGTGAGAAAACCAATATCTGGCATTTCATGACTAATTTTTGCTAGGGATAAGATTTCTTATTCTCAGCTCTTCTGCTACCAGATATCAGCTGTCTTGCTCTTTCTCTTCCATTGTTGCTGCATCTCCACATTTGTGGTTCTGATACAGAAGGTTAAGTTTAACTTCTGATTCCTGGATAAACATATTATCCTGATTTTTTTTTTAAACTCCTCTCGTGAGAAAGAAGTCTTTTTCAAAAAATGTTTCGCTTCTTGGCTCACTGTTCTTGACATGGTTCATTTCTGAGTTTTTCCTTATAGTGTAATCCGTTGTATTTAATGTCACCTGTGGTCTTTAAACCTAATGTGACTTACGTTACCTCAAAGCATTTGGACCCAGAGCAATCAGGCTGCGAGCCCCATTAGCAGACACTAACCCAGGGAAGTTCTTGCACTGTCTTTGTGTTTGCTTTGTTGCCACTGTGAAATGTCGGCAGACGTGACCGTTTCACAGGCAGCTTGGAGTGCTGGGAAAAGCTTTCCGAGTGTCTGCAGCATGATAGATGCGCAGGGATTGTTGTTGGGTGACATTCTGAATGTAGAAGACCACTCTTGATTTAGCAGCAGGGCATTCACCATCACTTCAAAATAGAAATTTCAGTTTTTAAAAGAATCTGGAATGTACTTAAAGCTGCCTTTTGAGATTTTTCTCCTTGGTATTTGTCATAGCTGCTGTTGTCGGATTAAACATGTTAAACCAAAGGTGTGACTGTATTAAAAGGCTTTTATCTGCTTGTCTCTACAGAAGCCCTGTTTTCTATTATGCTTCGGGGACTCTACTAGGTATTCTCATGACGTTAGTCTTTGTGCTGCTGCTGGTAAAGAGGTTCATTCCTAAGGTAGGTGTGCTCTGTGCCAGTGAATAAAAAAGGGGGAAACTATGCTCTCGTAGACATGAAAAATGAGCAAAATTAATTCATGTTGATTATGAAAACACTGAAACTATATCTCAATACTGTGTAAACTGGCTTTCAAGCATGTATGTCTTTTTTTTTTTCTAGAGAGTGTGTCTTGGTTATTATAAATAGCAAATGTTAAGGTTTCTTGACTCTGTTGGAAACCCTTTTATTCCCTAGGTGTGTTTTTCTTATGAGTGATGGGCTGATTCTGTGCTGAGTGAAATTTTTTCTCATCTTGACAGTGCTAAGCCATTTCATGATGCTGAACCGTTGGGATCTTGAATAATAGCATCACTGCATCAGGGGATTTCTTCTTTATTGTTAGTTCCCTGAAACACTTTGACCCAAAGAATGCTGTGCTCTTAAAGACTAACAGTATCCCGATACTGTTCCAGATCCTGTGGTTGAAGCTTGCGGCACAGCTTTACTTTAACATAAACTCATCCATTAGTGTTTCTCCAACTTGGACTGGGAATCCCTTGAAGTGCGAATTCAAATTCAGGAGCCCTGAGTGGGTCCTGCGAGTCCCATTCCAGCCAGCTCCCAGTGAGCATCGTTGTGTCCACACTCTTCCTTTATGGAAACTCAAGAATCTCTTAAATCAGCTTCTGTTTTGTTTGATGTGGAAGTGTCTGTCACAAAGGATTGATTTATTTTCCTTTTAATGAGAGTGAATAAAACAAAAAAAATGTGTTATTTTCTTCCACACACAGTATAGCACCTTTGGGGCTCTAATGATTGGTTGTTGGTTTGCTTCAGTTTATGTTGTGTGCCAATTGATGGAAGACCTGAAGTGGCTGTTTTATGAATACAGAATATATTTATTAGGTAGGTAAATTAACAAAAAAGTGTTCTTTTATTGATAAAGGTAAGACGTATGAGCTTTCTTTTGGCATACCTTTCTCTTGGGCATCTCAGATTTCATTTTGAATTAAAAGGTGCTACTGAAAGTATTTCATTTTGGAGTTTGGGCTATGGTTCAAGTGGTCAAGCTCTGGTTAAATCCCTGGCACCTTCTGGCCTTCCTTAACACTGTCCAGTGTGGTCCTTACAAACTATAGCTCCCTCCCCCCCCGCCCCCAGCACACATTATTCCCATAGTTTGGTGGTTTCAAGTCATTCAGTCTCACTTTATATATTTTTTTCTTTGTTTTTGGGTTACACCCAGCAATGCACAGGGGTTACTCCTAGCTCTGCCCTCAGGACTTACTTCTGGCAGTGCTCGGGGGACCATATGGGATGCTGGGAATTGAACCCCTGTCAGCCGCATGCAAGGCAAACACCCTACCCACTGTGCTATCGCTCCAGCCCCTCAGTCTCACTTTAAACCATTTCCCTGTGACTACTTTCTTAGTTTTTAATACTAATGACCACAAGAGTAAAACAGTGTTTTTGTTTTGTTTTGTTTTGTTTTGTTTTTATCTCAATCTATGTTTTTGACTGACAGTATGCTGTGGACACACAAAGAGCTTGTAATGAAAGAATTTTCTAGAATATGACTGGCTATTTTTTCTTAATGTATTCCCCGTGAAAGGTGAGAAATTTGAAATACAAATGGCTAATGGGATTTGACTTTTCAGAAAGAGAGGATATTGGGAAACCACTTGATCTTGTTTTGTATTATTTAAAAAAAAACTTTTACATGGTTGTTGGTTTTAATAGGGAAGTAGTGAACAAGAGTAGAATTCCTTAGCACCACATTTCTTGTTTTAAATTCGCACACCCAAAATAAAGCAATCAGGTTTTCATTTTAATTGAAGGTTTTTAGCTTGTTTTCCTTTTTATACTAAGTAAGTTTTAGATATTATGAACATTTATGATCCCTTAAATATTCACTAAGCATCTTTTTTTTAAAGTGTTTTTCTGTTGAAATAATGATTAAATCTATAAAATTGATAATTGCATAAAATCATCTCTCACCAAGCCAGGCCATGTTTAAGTTTCATAACTGTTCTTTCTGTTCTCGTTTTGGTACCACACCTAGCAGTGCTTGGCGCTACTCCCAGCTTACTGCTCAGGGATCCCTCTGGCAGTGCTTGTGGGGCCCATGTAGTGCTCCCAGCACTACATTAAACCGGAACTCCTGTATGCAAAGCATGTGCTCCAGCCTTTGAATTATCTCATACCTCTTAAACGTTTTTTCCTGTTTCTGTTCTTTCTTTTCCTTCATTCCCTTCCCTCCCTCCCCGACCTTCTTCCATCCCTTTCTCCCTCCCCACCTCTTCCCCCCTCCCTCCCTCCCCTTCCTCCCTCATTCCTTCCCTTCTTTCCTTCTTTCGTTCCTTCTTTCCTTCCTTCCTCTTGTTCAAACCCAGTTCTCATGAATGCAAGGCCTGTGCTTTACTTCTAACCCATATCCCTAACTCTTCCTAAATATCCCTATTTGGGGGGAGGTAGAGAGTAGAAAGTTGGTTTGGGCCACAGCCAGTGGTATTCAGGCTCACTCCTGGCTTTGTGCTCAGGGATCACTCCTGGTGGTACTCAGGGTAGGTACCATATGGGTACCAGGGATTGAACCGAGTTAGCCATTTTAGGGGGAGGATTGTTTGGTTTTTTTGTTTGTTTGTTTTGGACCACACCAGGTAATGCTTAGGGGTTACTCCTGGCTCTATTCTGAAATCTCTCCTGGCTGTGCACAGGGGATCATTTGGGATGCCAGGGATTAAACCTGGGTTGGCCACATGCAAGGCAAATACCTTACTGATGGTACTATCTTTCCAGTCCGTTTTTTTTTTTTTTCAGGGGAGTGGGGTGTGAGGTGGGGTGGGAAGGACTGTATTCAGCAATACTCAGGGCTTACTCCTGGCTCTGTGCACAGGGATCACTCTTGGAGGGTCTCAGTGGATGGTATGTTATGCCAGGGATCAAGCCCTGGTTGGCCATATCCAAAGCAAGGGCCCCACACACTGTACAGTCTCTCAGGCCCCTCCCTCCTAAATATCTGATGGTTGGTTGGTACAAAGATGTGGTCCAGAGCCACATTTTCCATCTGTCATTTCCTATAAGTCATTTTTACACTATAACAGCTCCTGTTTGTTAACACAAATATGCTAGAGCCCAAACTAGTTCTCCAGTAAAGGTCATACTGTTGAGTTTCTTTGATTGCTCCTTTATGGTGGAATTTTATTTCTCTTTTGTACTTCTTGCAAACTGTAAATTAAATCTTGAGGCTTGCTGCATAGAAATGAAAACCCTTTTGGGTTTTCATTCAGAAGAGGCAGTGAGCACTTCACATAGATTCCCAACAGAATAGAGTATTTTATTATTTCTTCCACTAGTGATGCAGTTTTGAGAACTGGATTATGAGGATGACAGCCTGATCTCTCCATTGGAAAACTTTGTTTTCCTTTTGTGATCAGAAAGTAGCACTGTGGCACTGTCCTCCCGTTGTTCATCGATTTGCTTGAGCGAGCACCAGTAACGTCTCACAACAAATTGTGAGACTTGTTGTTACTGTTTTTGACATATTGAATACACCACAGGTAGCTTTCCAGGCTCTACTGTGCAGGCGAGATACTCTTGGTAGCTTGCCGGGCTCTCCGAGAGGGGCGGAGGAATTGAACCTGGGTCAGCTGTGTGCAAGGCAAATGCCCTACCCACTGTACTATCGCTCCAGCCCATCAGAAAGTAAAACCCTTTTAAATAGGGTTCATCACCTAACACATGACGAGACTTATCCTGGACTATAGCTGCTGGGAGAGCATTTACCCATCTTGGGCCTTGAACTAAAAAGCACTAAGTAGATCTTCGTAATTTGTTATTGAACACCCATGATTACTACAAAAGCCAGCTGCTGTCTCAAACAGAAGGAACACCTAAGCCCAGGGTGTGTTTTCAAGCTGACCCCCACTGGAGAAGGAGAATCAAAGTGAAGTTTGACTGCCACTCGCGGCTCCAAGTGGAAAACCGGCTGGGTTTTTCCTCACAGCCTTCCCCTGTAGAATCTGCATGATTTTCCTCCTCTGCTTTTGCAGGCTATGTCTTGACTGTTGGATTCCTCAGCTTCGCAGTGTGTTACAAACATGGGCCACTTGTGGATGCGAAGAACATAAACCTTCTGACCTGGACACTGCGGCTCCTCTCCTTGCTTCTGATCTATGGGGGCTTTTCTGCACCCCTGTTTGCCCTCTTGGCTGTGGGCTTCTTGCTGTTGGCCAGGGGCCTGCGCTACCCATGGAATGCCATCAGTCACCTGAGGAGGTGCGTGACTTCTCCTCTTCCTGGTCACCATGGTTTTGAGACAGGGGGATGGTCTTGGATGCATCATATTTAATCTCATCATTTCTGCTTGGGGGAAGGGTGTGGGCTTAGAGAACCAACAAAACCTATGCCTGACTCATCCGCATTCATTTTTCACTACCTGTTAGTCAGGAATTACAAACTACGTGCAATTCACTAAAATTGGTAGCAAAATTAGATGGGCACTGGATTGTCTAAAGTTTTCTACTTTTATTCTACATTTCCTTCTCTTTTTTTTTCTTTTTTTGGGGGGGGGTGTCACACCCAGCGATGCACAAGGGTTAGTCCTGGCTCATGCATTCAGGACTTACTCCTGGCAGTGCTCAGGGCACCATATGGGATGCTGGGAATCGAACCTGGGTTGGCTGTGTGCAAGGCAAATGCCCTACCCGCTGTGCTATCACTCCAGCCCCTACATTTCCTTCTCTTAAAGCCTAGGAAAGCTTTAGACATATTTTTTGTGCTTATAAGAGTCAGAAACAGTAAGATCAGAATGGTAGTAGAGCAGGTCAGGCACTTGCCTTGGACACAGCTGACCCAAGTTCGATCCCTGGCATCCCCTCTGGTCCCCTGAGCCTGCCAAACTGCCGGGAGTACTCCCTGAGCACAGAGCCAGAAGTAAGCCCTGAGCACTGTCAGGAGTAAACCCTGAGCACCCCCGCCCAAACAAACAAAAGAGTTAGGGAACAGAAATGAATCAAATGATTGGGGGGGGAAAAAGGACATTTTTATGTTCAGGACTTTAATTTCTCTTAAGTTGTAAGTTAAGGCCTAAATCTTTTCAAAGGACAGAAAGTGTGGCCAAGAGATAGCACAGCAGGTAAGACACCTGCCCTGCATGTGGGCAGCCTTGGTTTGATTCCCAGCACCACCGAGTTCTCTGAGCACAGAGCCAGGGCTGGCTCATTCCCGCTCCATTAGAAAAGAAAGAAAATAAAGTCCATACAAAAAGATGTGATATTTCGGGGCTGGAGCGATAGTACAACGGGTAGGGCATTTGTCTTGCACGCGGCTGACCCGGGTTTGATACCCAGCATCCCATACAGTGCCCTGAGCATCACAAGGAGTAAGTCCTGAGTGCAAAGCTAGGAGCAATCCCTGTGCATTGCCGGGTATGACCCCCCCAAAAGATATGATATTTCTGTTGTCAAAGCTTTGTGATCTGTTTTAACTCAGGTATACAGGTGAAAGTTATGTTCCCTGTTAACCCCTTTTTGAGCCAGAGGCAAATTTTTTTTTTCTTTTTGGGTCACACCTGGCGATGCACAGGGGTTACTCCTGGCTCTGCACTCAGGAGTTACTCCTGGCGGTGCTCAGGGAACCATATGGGATGCTGGGAATTGAACCCAGTTCGGCCGCGTGCAAGGCAAACTCCCTATCCCTGTGCTATCTCTCCAGCCCCAAGGCAAATATTTCTATAGGAAAGATAGAGGAGAAAGAGACAGAGAGAATTTGGGGGAGGGGGGATATTCCACAATGAATCTTCCTTTCCAGGGGGCAGATGCCACTTAGTTGAGCCCATCGTCACCATGTCACCATACCTTGACATAATCCATAAATATGAATCATAATGTAAATTATTATTTTTTAAAATATCTGCAATGAATGTCATGGAAATAAAAATATATACAAGTAAAAAAAAAGGAATTTCACCACAGAAACAACAGACACTCCTCAGGCGGTGGGATGTGACCCATTTGTCTTCTGTTACAGGATGGCTATAAGGAGGCCGTGGGGCAGGAGGCCAGTCAGCAGACCGCCTGGTGGTCTAGGCAAAAAAAGCGGAGAGGACAGGAGTAGGGGAAGCAGAGAGGGAGGCAGTAAGGCCCAGATGGGAAGAGGGACTTGACAGATATTCCTGAAGTGCACTTGGCTCTGCGTAAGGACACTCTGGGACCTGGTAGCTCATAGATTGTATTGGTGGCCAGATGACAGGGTTAAAAATTCACCAGTGGCAGGACGGGTTCCTTGTTTACTAGGTGTGAGGGCAGCTGAGGGGATGGTGCCGGCTGCGCTCTGCCTGTCTCGGTGCAGTGATGAGGGTGCCCCGAGGTCCCTCTGCTTTGAGTCTGCCCCTCCAGCCCTCAGGTCTCAGTCTTTGGCAGGCTCATGGCCTACAGAGCCTGGGTCACACCTGGTGATGAACAGACTTTACTCTTGGCTTGCACTCGGGAATTACTCCTTGTGGTGCTCAGGGGACCATATGGGATCCTGGGATTTGAACCCAGGTTGGCCGGTGCAAGGCAGGTGCCCTACCCACTGTGCTATCGCTCCAGCCCCAATGCTGGTGCTTTTCTGGTATTTACTATACATCCCATTAATACTAGCATCATATTGTTTTATGTATTATATTTAAGTATTATGTCTTCCTCAGCATCTCAGTTGCTTCTGAATAATTATGTGGATAGGAGCTAGGAAACAAAACAGGAATTTACAGGTAAAATAATAAACTAGAGCAATAATCCCTTGCTATGGAGAGTGCTTTTAGTTTACAAAGATCTGCTTGAATGCATCTTAATAATAGCCTAGAGTTCTTGATTGCCTTTTTGGAACACTCACTAGAGCTTACTTACTGTGCCAGGCACTTTCCCCAGAACATCTCCTTGTATTTGAACCATGACCTCATGAGGTGATTGCTTTCATATTTTTTTTAATTCCTTCTCAATATGAGCAGAGTTAGGGAATTATTCCACTTCACATAGCAGGTAGGCTTAATGCCAGGATTGGGCCTTGAGACTTCTGTGCAGAGACCAAGGGATGTAGCTCACTTGCTCACTGGTGAGCACTTGCCATACATAGGTCAGACCCTGTCTTAATCTCAGCACCTCTGAGAGAAAACAAGTCCTGTGACTAGTCCCTGAGATCAGTCTGGGTATGGAGGAGAAATGAAGTTACATCTCTGGATCCAGCTCAAAAGCCACCAGAGGACCTCTAAAAGAGGAAAGGGTTTTCAAGGGTTTTCACCTCCAGGAAACACGTATTTTACAAGCTCCCAGGTGATTCTGATGCTCACGCAGACTTGGGATTCTGTTTAAATTAAACTTAAAATATCTCCAAACCCTTTTTTCAACCCATAAAGAATCTATATTTTAAAAACCTTTTTTTTCATCATTTCAGTCTTATTCGATTTTTAATACTCACTTGCTTGGGGAAAAACATGCAACTCATGAGCCCCTCAGCATGTGAAATAGAGTTGGAATTATACATTTTGTGAAGCGATAGTACAGTGGACAAGGTGCTTGCTTTGCACACAGCTGACTTGCGTTCAGTCACAGCCAGGAGTAAGCCTGAGCATCACCAGGTGTGGCCCCAACACAAAATCAAACAAAAATTGTACGTACTCAACCCTTGTATGATATTCACTGCTTCTCTGGGAGTAGTCACCACCACTAGGTGGAGACGAGAGCTCACAAATCCTGCACCTCTGTGTGAAGTGAGGTCTCCTTAAAAGGGCATCCCAGAGGCTCCTTCTCGTAGCACCCAGGAAAAACTGCCAGCCAAGCATTAAGAAAAAAAAAAAACAGGCTTTTTAATGTTTCTGATTGTGCGATTCGAAATGAGCAAGGAACAAACAGCAGTGAACTGCCTATTAAGCACCTGGAGGCCTTAGACCTTATTTAGGATGGTCCAGGAAGAAGGCAGAGAGTAAGGTAGGCCCAGACTGAATACTTCCATCACAGTGACACAAATGTAAAAGTATAGCTGTGCTCCAGAAGGTAGCATAGCGCTATGATATAAAGTACTACTGTTACCATTCTAAGAAATGTGTATAAGGAGGGTGGGAGTCTCCCAGGCAGTGCTCAGGAGGCCCATCATGGCCTCTACTGGCTGTTTCCAGCCATCCAGGCCTGTAGTTCCATGTAAGGACCTCTGGGGTGTGGTGCGGTTTAGGCCCTGGGGTTCTGGGGAGACGTGGGCCACAACTAGGGGGTGGGACTGGGGATCCAGGTCACACCTGATGGTGCCCAAGGGGACCAGGTGGTGCCAGGAGTTCAACCTGGGCCAAGCACATGCTGTGCCATCTCCTGGCACCTGCAAAAATAAACCTTTATAAATCCTAAGGGTTTTGGTTTAGGGATCAGATATGACCAGGTATGCCCAGCAACTGAATGCTGCATGTTTTAGGAAAATGAAGATGTGGATGGCATCCAAGAAACCACAGGTGAAGTTGCTGACGGAGGATGAGTACCGGGAGCAGGCGGACGCCGAGACTAGCCGCGCTCTGGAGGAGTTGCGCAGGGCCTGCCAGCGGCCCGACTTCCCCTCCTGGCTGGCCATCTCCAGACTGCAGGCTCCCAAAAAGTAAGCCCTGCCCAGCTACTCCTACCACACCCCGTGTTAAGGTCGCTGGGAGCAAGATAGGCCGGTGCAGTTGGATACTTAAGACTAGGAGCCGAATTTCCCAGGAAACAGCCCGGGGAGCTGTCAGCGGTCCCCTTTCTTGGCGCTCTTACTTACACCACAGAACTTGCGTCAGAATTCATAGTCTGCATCTATAATGCAAGTACACCGGATGTGCTTTCTAGGGGAGGCAATAACTTCCAGGTGGGAAGGAAAAAAGTTGGGGGTGGGAGGTTTCACCCCCCTCCCCTCGCTGCTGGTTCAGAGAATCATTTTAAAAATCCACCAAGGACCTCTCTGCTCTGACATCTCTTCCTCTCAAATCCTTATCCTAACAGTGCCCTCAAATGGAAAAATGGAAGGGGGAGGAGGACTGCCAAGCCAAAATAAGGAATAAATGGTAACGCTAACTGAATCGGAATGAGAGAAGAGAAGGAGCTAGCAATAGAAGTGGGTAGGCTTGGCAGAGTACGCTGTTTATGTCTGGCTGCTTTTCTGCCCTTTCCCAGAGTATCTTGGGAAGGATCACATAAGCCATTCCTGTTTCTACACCCACTCTGTAAATGCCATCCTCTATTGATGCAAAGTTAAATTTAATTAAAGGAGATGAGTAGAAAGGGAACATGTTATCTTCCAAATAAGCCTTTTGGTGATAACATTAACTTTATTTAAAGCAACAACAACCCAAAAAAAAAAAAAACCTTTTTAGGTTTGCAGACTTTGTTCTCGGAGGAAACCACGTGTCTCCTGAAGAAATGAGTCTGCATGAAGAGCAATATGGCCTTGGGGGCGCCTTCCTGGAGGATCAGCTCTTTAACCTGCAGACCGCCTGACACCCACCCGAGCTGGACTTCATGCTGGATTAGGCAGGAGCTGCTGGAGCCACTTGCCTTGAGCACTCGGCATCAAGGGAGTTGTGCTGACCTAAATCTAAGGGGCCAGTGAGCCTGAATGGGCCCCTTGTCAACAGCAGGGTGTCTGTCTCAGTCCTTAGAACTTTTGCCAAGAGCGTGGGCATTGCAGGGCCTCCACGCTCCCCGTCCAAGTGCCCAGAGCTATGGAATAGGCACTGAGCAGTGTCTCCAGAAGTTAAGCCCACGGGACACTCGTAAGAGTGGAGCCAGTACAAGATTTCTCAGCGCCGCAAGTGATGCGGGTACACACTGTGAATCTCCCAGAGGAGAAATTGTTAGCAGCAGCCCGTGACTTAGTTTGACCACAGAGCAACACCTCCCCCTGTTTTTTTTTTTTTTTTTTTAGGCTTCAGGATTTGATTGCATTTTATTGTAACCTATTTATGGTTAATTTTCCTTTTTTGTGTTGTTGTTTGTCATTGTTTTGGGGCCACATACAGAGATGTCCTGGGATTGCTCCTGGCTCTGTACTCAGGAATTACTCCTGGTGGGGCACAGGGGGCCATATGGGATGCTGGGGATCGAACCTGGGCTGGCTGCATGCATGGCAAGCGCCTTACCTGCTGTACTGACTCTCTGGCCCCTGTTTTTTCTTTTTTTAATTGCATTTTATTTTATTTTAAACATTATTAAGGCACCTTGATTTACAAAGTTATTCCTAATTGAGTTTGAGGCACAGAATGTCCCAGCACCAGTCCCATCACCGGTGGTCCTCCACGTAATGTCTCCAGTTTTCTTCTTCTGAGATGAATATTCCTTGAGATACATGTTTGAAAAAAATGTTAATAATGGAGAAATTTGGATGGAGGGACATTAAATAACTTTGTTTTTATTTGGGGGCCACACCCAGCAGTGCTTAGGGATCACTCCTAGTGGACTTAGGGGACTGAACCTTGGTCAGCTGTGTGCAGGGCAAGAACCCTACCCACTGAACAATCTCTCTGGCCCCTGCATACCTTGAAGAACACACAGCTTATTAGAGGCAGCCCTCTGGCTGGACCTCCAGCCCTGCTCTCTCCACAAGAGTCCTTAGAAGGGAGCCCAGCCCAGCGGCCTCTCCCTGTCTCCCTGAGTCTCAAAAAAAAACAACCTATCAACTAGTTCTTTAATTATTATAAAGAGAGAAACATTTTTCTAAGATTCTGTTTTTGTTTTGATAAGGATTATGTTAAAATTAGTTAGAAATAATTTTTACATTTTTCAGTATGTTGAAATGGAAAGTATCCTCTGCCTATTTTGTGTGTGTGTGTTTTTGTTTGGGAGGCCATACCTGGCATTCCCAGGGCTTACTACTGCTTGTGTGCTCGGGGATCATTCCTGGTGAGGCCCTGGGGGCCATATATGGTGCTAGGGATCGCTTTACCTCTCCAGTCCCACTCTCAGACTCTTTGAGATGACTGGCCTATTAAAAAAAATTAATTCTTACAAAACTGATTTATGGGACCTGAAAGATAGCACAGGGATTAAGGCACTCACTTTGCATGAGGCCAACCCAGGTTCAATCCCCAGCACCACATAGGGTCCCCTGAGCCTCGCTAGGAGTGGTCCCTGAGCACTACTGAGCCCTTAAAACACAAACAAATGAAAAAACAGCACCATCAACCACATCAGGGGTTTCTTCATACTCTGTGTTTGGGGGTCACTCCCAGCAGTACTCAGGGGACGATGTGTTGTCAGAATTGAACCCAGGCCTCCTGCAAGCAAAGGGTATATTCCAGCTGTTTCTTCTGGAGAATCAATTTCTCTATCTCTCTGTCTCTCTGTCTCTCCCTCCCTCTCTCTCTCTCTCTCTCTCTCTCTCTCTCTCTCTCTCTCTCTCTCTCTCTCTGTCTCTCTCTCTTTCCTATTTAACTATTAAACTGGTGAAATAAAGGGCTAACTCTCAACTTTGACTTGAGAAAAGGAAGCAAAAAATACAGGTCTATGAAAAGATTTGAAAATGGCAGAACCATCAAAGCATTTAAGTGTTGCTCAATTATTTCTCTTCAAAAATCAAACCTGACCATTTTTGCTGCCACGGGATCACATAGGGTAAAGGCATGAAGGACGAGAAATTGTACTGCTTTTTGAGCCAGATTTAGAGGTTTTCTAGGTGTTGAATAAGAGTTTGACTACCATTTGGAACTTCTAAAATTGATTTTCAAGTGATTTCCCCACATTGGAACATTGTGTTACTGTTTTACAGGTCTCTTTTACCAGACACCTTTTTTTTTTAACATTGCATACTCTATTTTTATAACATTTACTAATTTTATAAAATTCACACAAGCTGTGCTTTTACATAATATCTTGATTTCAGAAATCAAAGTATCTTCTATTCAGACATCCGCTATGATGACTTTCTCATAAGTATAAATAATTCTAACATTTTGTTAGTTTCATCTGATTTATAATGGAGTGTTGTGTTTAATTGGTGGCATTTTGTGTATGTAATACGTGTAAATTCTCACACTCATCCTGTTCACCTCCCAGGAGACAGTTTGTGAATCATGAGAGGTATGTGTGAGTAACCTGTGTACTCTGCCAGCCTTCCCTCGAGCCCTTGGGCTCTGGCCTATGCACAGCAGGTATAATTGTGACAATAGAAATTGCTAAACAGAAAATAACTAGTCTCCTGTGATGTTGTTCTTCATGTTTCTTTCTAGAGCAACTATGCATTGATCGGTTTCTGTTATGTTAATACTGTGACACATTAAACAATTAAAAGCATTGCTTTCATGAATTGTTGTTGTGTTCATTTGATTTTGGTTTATTCGATAGCACTGGTCAGAGTAATATAAAACACACCTCATCACTTGCTTGGGATGCAAGATGTGTGTTGAAAGTAGACTATAGACCAAACACAAGGACCACTCAATACCTCCACAACACCCTAAAGGAAAGAGAGAGCAAAAGGGAGTGCCCTGTCACAGAGGTGGGAGGGGGGAATGGGAGGGGGTGGAGGGATACTGGGTTCATTGGTGGTGGAGAGTAGGCACTGGTGGAGGGATGGGTACTCGATCATTGATGACTGAAACACAAGCTCGAAAGTTTGTAAGTCTACAACTGTACCTCGTGGTGTTTCACTGAAAAAACAAAAACCTCATCATCCACATTATAGAGATAACACACACAAGTAATCTTTTATTCTCTCCCAGACTTCCTTCTTTACTTTGTGTTTGTCTCTCTTCTCCCATTCTTGCTTTAATGGCCTTTAAATGGCTTAAGTGATCAGGTGGTGAGATGGCTCTGCTTTTCACAGGTGGTGAAACCCTCCTTTATGCTTCCTCCACCATCGGTGTGCAATTGTAGAGTTCCTGTGGGAGTTGGTGTTGTTGCTGACGCTTGGTACCTCACAGAAGCATGCTGTTAGCAGGCTGGACTATGTGACAGTAAAATATAGGGGTGAAACGTAGTGTGGGTGGCTATGCTTAAACAATCATACCATTCAAATGTTATTTCTAAAAGGTTTTTAAACATCACTTTTCACAAATATGAATTGTACAATTTTCCAGTAATATGTAGGCTTGAATTACAGAGGCGTGTCTGACATTTAGGACTTTAAGTATATAAATGTATGACTTTCCTATTCTACACATTTAATAAGAAAATTTAGATTTTGAGAAGTTTGGAATAGGTAGATTACATCCATCTCTCTAAGCATTTGGATGAATTAATTGAATTTCAATAAATGAAGTTATTGTCACAGTTATACCTTCTGTGCATAGGCCAGAGCCCAGGGGCGATCCTGGCCAAAGGTCTCAAGGAAAGCAAAGCAAATTTCACATGCTTATGAACCCTGAAATGAACTCAAGAAAAGATACAGGCCTTGTACTATTTGTTCTGTACATGCTTATTTCCCAGAGTTATAAAAGAACAATTTTCAAATAAGCTATTTGGGGGGTGGGGAGAAAGGATGGTTTGAGTTATACCCAGAAGTGTCCAGGACTTAACTTTGGGCGGTGCTCTGTGGACCATATTTGGTGCCAGTGATGTAACCAGGGCTAGCTGTTTGCTTTATCTGCTATACTATGTCTCTGGCCTCAGCTTTTATTTTTTGGTCTTTCTTGGTCCAACAAAGGAAAGGTCCTGTTATAAATAACATGATGGATGTGAAATTGTGGGAAAAACCTGCAATAAGACAGAGAAGGAAGTATTTTCAGGTGCTGTAGAAGCAAGCTGCCTCTGAGAAATTTCCCTGCTATGGGTAATTTCTGGGTATGACATTAACATGCACACCATGTGATGTAGCTCGGCCTGATGGATTCAGAGCTTTGAGTTTGGTCACTGGACCATCAGATGACCTACCCTAGCCATTTCCTATAGTCTGTCCACCAGCTAGCCAGCTGAACACTCATGCATACATATGCCTGATAGGACTAATGGATTCCCAAAAGACAGATCTATGAGGGATCAAATTATAACAACTTTTACTGGTGAAAAGAGAACAGAAAGAGGTTTTGTTAAATAATTCATGTTCAAAGTCTAAAGCTTGAGCAGGCCCAGTAATGTCTCCATCGGAAACTTTGTTGTTACTGTGTTTGGCATATCGAATACATCACGGGTAGCTTGATTGGGCTGGAGCCATAGCACAGCGGTAGGGCGTTTGCCTTGCGCGCAGACAACATGGCCGACCCTAGTTCGATTCCTCCGCCCCTCTCGGAGAGCCTGGCAAGCTACTGAGAGTATCTCGCCTGCCCGGCAGAGCCTGGCAAGCTCCCCATGATGTATTCGATATGCCAAACACAGTAACAACAAAGTCTCCAATGGAGACATTACTGGGCCCACTCGAGCAAATCGATGAACAATGGGAAGGACAGTGACTAGCAGTGACTAGCAAAGTCTAAAGCAGACACCACCCTATCCATGAGTCTAGCCTTGCTTGGGTGCTGAGCTCCCCAACTTTTGGCAGACATGACATGACCTCCAACATCTTGACAGTGGTCCTGCCATCTCTCTCTCTCTCTCTCTCTCTCTCTCTCCCTCCCTCCCCCTCCCTTCCTTTCTCTCTCACACATTCATGTGTGTATACACACACACACACACACACACACACTTTGTTACTACCCCTTTTCTTCCTGACATATAGTAAAATTTCTTCCTGATCTAAGAAACCACTTTCCTCTTTTTCACCTCTGTTCTGCCCCCATCCAGACACCAGCTTCTTTTCCATCTGCCTAACAGTTTGGATTTTTGAGTCTTCTATTTAGAGCTTTGCTGAAATGACACAGGAGTGGTTTGGGTCTTTCAAAATAGTTTTGTCTTGTCCTCATGTACCAAAGGAAAGAAGAACTTTGCTGTGGAAGCTCATCTTTTTGCTTTCTTACAGCCAGCTCTGTAACAGCCTGCCCTTATCTTCACAGAATAACAGTTTCATACTGAAGATGAAACTGGAGGATGCAGACATCTCCCACATGAAGTTTCTTCCTTTACATTATCTGTATGGCGGCCAGAAGCCTCATGTGGCCATTTACATTTTGGAATATGAGAACACTGCAAACATGAGCTTAATCCCAGCTCTGGCTAATGGCTGCCATGCCAGGCTGCCTTTCTACAATGCCATGTCTTGCTGTGCAAAGCCATGGAGGTGTCTGCTTCTCTTTGCAACGCCTGAGGCCTTGTTCAGTGTCCTGAGCGACCTTGGCTTTCTCTACAGTATTGTCAAACCATTCAAGTCATCTCCAGAGTATAAAGTGCCAGTCACTCACAAGTAAACAATCACCTGGAGTTTTAAGGTACCTTCATTTCTAGAACTCTAAATAGAAATGCAATCATAAGTATGTGTAGATGGCACACGAAGTCCCGTGACATGCTCCACACAAGCAGGGCTGGCAGGAAGGTAGACCTGCACTTGGCACCAGGTGGATTTGAGTTTGTGATCTGGGTCCCAAGATGTATAAGGTCCATAATGTAAGGTCCCGTAACATGAAGTCCCTTAATGTAAGGTCCCTAATATAAGTCCCCATAACATAACATAATATACCTCCATGTCAGGCATAATGTAAGCTTCACATTTGAAGTGGGGACAGTGATAGGTACCACTTTGGTTGCTAAAAAGACAAAATGGACATCTCATCAGCAGGAAAGGAACCCAGGAACTATGGGACCTTCCAAGTTCACTCCAGGTGGGCCCAGAGGAGTACTGCTTAACCAGTGCTCCCCACAATGCCAAGGGGTTGAGTGGACAATATGGGCAAAACTGTCTATCAGAAGCACTGGGCCAACTATGTGCTTTATGTGGTGCATGGCAAGAGTCATGAGTCAGTCACGGTCACGGTCCTCCCGTCGATTTGCTCGAGCGGGCCCAGTAACGTCTCCATCGTGAGACTTGTTGTTACTGTGTTTGGCATATCAAATACGTCAAGGGGAGCTTGCCAGGCTCTGCCGTGTGGGCGAGATATTATAATTAATAAAATAAAATAAAACAGCCCTGCAGTCAACCCTCCCCTTCGCAAACGCCACACCCTGGGCGCCCCAGCCCGGGGAACCCGTATCCCCCTGAGCCCCTCCTCTGCACAGTCAGCCCATGGCCCTGGCCACCGCCCCACCCGGCACCACCTGGGACGTGTCCAGCTCTCGGGGCGGCTTTGGGGCGAGGGAGGGTCTCCCTCAGGCCCCGTCTCCTGTGTCCCCTCAGCTGAGTGAGGAGTTGAGGCTGCACCTGACCCGGACCCTGGTTGAGAACTACGGGCAGCCCCAGGCCGCGGAGATCACCGCCTCCATGGACCGGCTCCAACAGGACGTAAGCACCACGCCCACACTTTGCTGTGCGACTCTAGGCCACGCGCTTGCCCCCTCTGGGCCCCCGGGGGCCACATCCTAAAAGAAAGCCTGAGAGCATGAGTGACTCCCGGGCTCTCCCAACACAGCCCCCCCAACACGCGTCTGCCCGGTGCCAAGGCTCTACTTCCTGCTCCCTCCACCGACCCCACCCCAGCCCACCTCTGCTGCCTTCCCTGTGAGGGTCCCCCAGCGGCCTCTCATCGGCGCCCTGTCTGGCTGCTGGGTGGTGGGGCTTGGCGGGGCCCGACCTCACGGCTCCTGTCAGAGCTCCGGCTGGCTGGAGGCCTGAGATCAGGATCTAGGGGCTGGAGCCATAATCCAGCGGGGAGGGGCTTGCCTCAATGCACACTGCTGGCCCGAGGTGGGGGTGCAACGGTGCCCTGTCGGGTCCCTCAAGCACCGCCGGGGGGGGGGGGGGGTCCCTGAGCAAAGCCAGGCGTAAGCTGTGGACGGTCCGTTTCTGCATTCATGAGTCAGTAAAGCAACAAATTTTCTTCATATTTTCAGGAGGTTTCTTGGCTAGTGGAGAGATACATATTACAGTTATCTACTATTTAGTTAAGGTACTATGTGATTATTTATTCGCAACTAGCCTCTGGGTTAGTTCGCCACTCAGGTAATTCCCTCTCTACCATCACATAGGGAAAGGTGTATAAAATAAATCATCAAGGCACTTATTACAGTCTGGGCTCTGTAAAACCCTGCGGATTTCCAGGGAATTATAAGTGAAAGTTAAGAAACTCAAAATTTAATCTGAACTAACATTAAGATTTTTTAGTATGGCCTATGTCACTTTGAAGAGGGGAAGAAAAAGTCACAGAGGTATCTCTCTAGGCTAAAAGGCTGGAGATTATTGCATCGTTGAATCAACTCCCACAGTGAATATTTCATGACAAAGGGCTTATTGAATTTGGTCTCATTTACAGAATGAAGAACTTTTATTTGTTTGGTCCCTTCTTTAGCATTTAAGAAATTATTTTTAAATGGTACTCATTTTTTTTTTATTTCAACATGTCAACTGTGCATTTCCAAAACAGCAGGCTTCTCAAAGGAATAAATCGAAACTTGTAAACACGAGATACAGTATAAGTTTTTGTCTTCCTACATTCAGTTTCACAAATTCACATACTGTACATTCAGAGGTGAGCTGCAGCCTATCACCCATTTCTTTATTTCTAGAATTACATAAGCATAATAAATACATCTGATTTTAAAGGTCACTTAAAATGAGTCATGATCATTTACAGTACAGTACGTTTCAGTTCAAGTGCAAAAATAACTATTTGCTGAATTCTATTTCTTTTCCACTATTTTACTTTTGAAGCTGTGTGTTGTGAAGCTAGGTGTCCACGTGTAGCGCTTCTCTGAGACACAGCTGGGGGCAGCAGTGTGATATGTGGAGAGGCCCGCACTTTGCACTTGATCCCCACTCACCAAGGCCAGCAGGTAAGAGCTGTTCTTCAAGCTCTCCTCTCCTTTCCTTTCTCCTTGCTTTCTGCACTGGAGCGAACCCACGTGCATCTGAAGCCACACTTTTCCCTACAGCCTCCCCTCAGGCTTCCCAGGAACCCGGCCTGGCCTTTGTAGCAGCTTCAAGTGTGATTCGCCAGCCTCTGTTCCGACTAGTCGTGGTATCAACTATCTCTGAAGTGCCCAGTGCCTCTGTCCCCTGGGAAAATACTGAGCTCTGCTTCTTTGATCACTGGAGTAGTTACGTCTTAGCCCTGTCCTTTCCCGTTCTGGTTTCCTATTCAGTAGCGACCCCCCACACCCCGCACCAAAACCAAAACAGAAACTGATGCAGTATGTAATTTTTAAAAATGGTATCCCTCCCCCAGGCACTTATATCTTATACTGTTAATTGTAAATAGTACTGCTTAATTAAAGAAACCCTTATGAATTCAGTGGGGTTTTTTTCTGCTTTATTCCATCAACAAATTAGAGCTCAAATCACTTTTTAAAATTGTAAGTAGTGACGGAGGCTCTTTACAGTATCGTATATTTAGTAAAGCTTTATCTATAAGCCACAGGATACTGAGTTGGTAGGTTTATTTGCAATATTCTCTCCTCTGGTCTTAAAGCCCATTTAAAACAAAAGGCATTTTAAAGCTCGGCTTAGTTTGCAATAGTCAGTAACAGCTTTTGCTGCCCCAAGACTGTTGAGTCTTTTTCCTATTGACTATTTTTTTAATTATATACCATATACATATAAAAATATATTTGCTAGAGATATGCCAAGTTTCTGATGAAACTTTCCTTTTTTTTTAAGTGAAAGCATATATGCTATTAATTTCTATCTGGTTACTTTTGTTTTGTAATATGTCTTAGAATTTTTAATGGTTCGTTCTCCTCAAGAGAAACAAAACGCCAGCTGTATTTTGCTTCTGCCCAGTTTGCATGAAGAGCCAAATACTCGGGATAGATCATCAGAAACCATGTCAGCGTTCACCTGGTCCTTTCCCTCCACTTGGTTTAACTGCTGGTTGCAACTCTCCGCGGGGGGCAGAGAAGTCCTGTGGTCCTGGGCCTCCTCGACAAGCCAACAACTCGAGTCCCCGGGCGCTTCGTGCCCCTTCCGTGGGCCTGGCGGGAGGATGGTGGGTGGAATAGCTGCGTCCCTGCAGATGCCCGAGGGAGCTGGGGCGGGGGGGGGGGGGCGGGGGGGGCGCTGGATGTGGGTTCCATGTGAATGAGACGGTTAGAAGCGGAGATGGTGCCTGGTGCCGTGCTGCTCCTGGTGAGGGGATGCGAGTGAGGCGGGTCCCGGTGCCTCTCCCAGGGTCCCCAGGAGAGGAGCCGAGTTCCATGCAGGGTTTGAGGAGAGCAGGGCCCTCAGTGTCCTTCCCCGGCCGGAACCTGCCGGTCCCCACCCTCGGGGCACCCCTCTGCGCTCGGGGGAGCAGGGCTGCCGCCGCTGTGCATCTGGGGCGCTGCTGCTTGCGGGGATGGCTGGTTTCGAGATGGGTCGGAGGGAGGCTGCCGGGGCACCGCCGGGGACGGCTGCCGGTGCTCACTGGTCCCCTGCAAAGGAAAGACAGACAGGTGGCCCAGGCTCAGCGAGAGGGACGAGATGCCACGCTTGATGGAGTGCTTGCAAAGGAACAGAAAGGTCGTGTGGGGGCGGGGGAGATGGTCCTTGAAGGGAGCGTTTGGGGGAGTCGGTAATTAGAGGAGTAAGGACAGAGTTTCTTACCTTTCATCTCCTTTCCTATGTGCAACTGCCAAAGCCGCATGAAAAACACAAAGACTATGAGCAGACGGATCTTGGGGGTAAAGAAACATCACGACCAATTTTGCCAGTTCACTACTAGGAAGACAGTTTACATCAGCGGACATGTACTGAGCCCCTCCCACTGGCCGCTGGGGCTGGGCAGCATGGACAGGTAACTGGGCCGAGAACATGGACTTCAGTTTCTGGAAGGGGGCGGGGGCTTGTATGCCAGGAAATAATTTCACATTCTCAGCCCCCAAGAGAGGACCAGAGAAAGAGCATCCTGACTCAGCTTGGCTGTATGCTTGGGATTTTGACATGTTGCTAAAAGTTAACTAAAACAAAAGATGCAGCATCCATGTATAAACAGACAAACGAAAGACAAAGGCAAGGAAGTGAGGGTTTCTGTAAGCAACTATGAGTACATACTCCAGCATGTCACCACAGCAAGTCAGCAAAACGCTGGACCCCCACATCCACAGTCCTGGTTTTTTAAATTGCATTCTCCCCCGCCCCCCACCCGCAGTGGATTGTTCTCTGAATGAGTTGCCCATAACTTCAAATAGCTTAGCATTCAAAAAGTTATTCCCATGAATGCTTCATAAATGTAAAAAAAAATTCTCTAGTATATCAGCTTCTTCATAAGAATAACCAAGTCATGTCCTCTTGTTTTTATTAATATTTGCATATCAGAGAGAAAACTTAATGTTCCTTAAGCCCAAGAGGGCTCTGTACAGATGAGGATGAGTACCAAAAGTGAGGAAAACAACACTACGAAGGCAGAAAAGATCTGACCTTGTTCTTCACCCCCTGACTCACATCCTTCCTGAGCTTGGCCCCCTCTCCACCACGTTCTCCTCCTTGTTGGAGCAGAGGAGGTCTGGGAGTTTATTATCTTGACAAAAAGTATCACGTATGAACCAGCATGCAGTAAGGTTAGCAGTCATGGGTCAGATTTGGTTTAAATTCTAGAAATATAGCAGGTAGGGTGTTTGCCTTGTACATGGCCGACCCGGGTTCGACTCCTCAGCCCCTCTCAGAGAGCCTGGCCAGCTACTGAGAGTACCCCGCCCGCATGGCAGAGCCTGGCAAGCTACCGTGGCATACTCCAAAAACAGTAACAACAAGTCACAATGGAGACATTACTGGTGCCTGCTGGAGCAAATAGATGAACAATGAGATGACAGTGCTACAGTGCTATCACAAAGTTAAGATACAGTTAAGGTACTTTGAGCTTTTTAAAAAGGAAATTAACCAAATTGCTCTTTATTTTAAATATTTCCCCTTCATTTCTTCTACCTTATGTGCCTTCTAAAACTAGATAGAGGTGACATGACTCAGCAAATAAAAGGGGTGATTCATACGAACATCATTATGTATACACTTTACTTTGACCAAACTGACCATAGCTATCACCCTTAATCATTTTCCAAAGGCGGATTTCATTATACTTGCCTACACTGTTTTATCAACATGATTTTACTTTATTCAGGAAAAAACACTTTCTAGGGAAAAGAAAAATCAAAAAATTATTTTGATTTTTGATTTTTAAGCCATACCCAGTCATGCTCAGGGCTTATTCCTGGCTCTGGTGTTTAGGGATCACTCCTGGAGATGTTGGGGGACCATATGTGGTCCTGGGGATTGAACCTGGGTTGGCAGCAGCTTGAAGGACAAGCACTTTACCCCCTGGGCTATCTGTATCCAGCCCTGAAAAATCAGGTTTTCTATTTTTCAGATGAGGTTACTAGCAAAACCATACTTCTACTGAGTTAAACTTATTCAGGAGGGCAGAGTTTTCATTAATTTATCAGATACTTATTTAGGTACCTTCACATATATGTCCCTGAAAGAATTTTAGAATTACAGAGATTCATTGATATGGTCCCAAAAGGCAAGAACCGTATATCCTCAGGGCAACTGGTGTCTGGAAACAGTGAAATTAAAAGAAAGAACACAAAATCAGAATGGATTTATTCTTACTCTCTTAGGAAGTATCACAATTCTCTCTAAAAGCGTTAGAACTCCATACAGCAGAATGTCCCCTCTTTGGAACCTGGTCTATACTACTACAATGCACTTGTATGAGTACTGAAATTATTTGATAGATGTCTATTTTCTCCTCCAGACCTTCCATAAATCTTGTTGAAATAACTGAAATAATGAGAACTGCTGAGACCATTTCATGCCAGCCAGCAGAGGAACCTTACCTGTAAAGGCTGGATCTCAGAAGCACGGCTGTCTCTGGTTAACTGCATCATCTCTTTAATTTGGTAGAGTGCGTAGACAAAGGTGACCCAGGGTGAAGAGCTGACCCCCCAGGCTGGCTTATTCACATCCTCCTGTTCTTCCTGGTGCTTGGTTTTCTTGGGTGGAAGTCTGGGCTCAATGCGTGACATGGCATCTTCTGTCTGTTGCTGGACCAAGTCGATGGTTGCTATGGGAACAGGACTTGAGGGAACAGGAATTCTTTCTGCCAGCATTGTCTTGTCTGGAGAGAAAACCATATTTAAATTTCTGTTCAGAGTTCTTCTACATATTTAATCCAATGCAAAAAATAAATGAATACATAAGTGGGCAAGCCCATAAGCTTAGCAATATTAGTAAGTGTTATCAAGGGCATCTTTCTTGGTATAAGTATGAAGCAAATGAATATTTTTCTCTTTCAGGATCATCCCCTTCTAGGGCTTGCTAGACGACTCACTTATATTTAGTTGTGACATGCATTTTTCCTATAATATTATATCTAATGTATATTGATTAGAGTGGATGTTGCCTTAGGCTCACTTCAGGACTGAGATTTTTTAAAGATAAACTTCAAACAGGAAAAACTTATGTGATAGCTGGGGTGTTTTATTTGTCTGCTTGTTTTTTCCTTTACCAGGGCACCAGGGCTATGGAAGAGACACAGTCTAATTAGGATTGTGAAAGAGTGAGAAAAATCAGGAGTGAGAAAAATCAGTATTAGTCTTTCTTTGTAACTTAGCAGCCAAGCCTTTCTCAGGGGTTTCTTTAATAAGCTAATTTTTCTTTAACTGAAACACTTAGGCAAATCCTTGAAGAACGAAACACCAAAGAAGATGAGGCCTAGTATAGGAAAGAAGCTGAGCAAGAATCTCTGTCCTGCTGGTTGGCCTTCTTCACTTCAAGAAATTCTTAGCTACACATTATATTTGATTTGATCTCTTTATATTACAACAATTTTCATGAAGTCCATGCTGTACTAAGGGAACTTTTCAAATAATGAGACTTTTTTTTCTTTTCAAATGAAGGTAAAAACATAGAGATTAATAAACTCCTTATCCATGGCAGTAAAACTACTCTATAGTTTTGTATGTATTTGATTCATATTTTAAATCTTTGGGGAATATTAAAGAGATTTAAAACCATTATTATTCCCACATTCCCATAACCCCACTGGTGTCTTGCACCATAAAAACAAACAATCAACCCAAGAAAACCCAAAGCTATGAAAAAACACCCTCATGTTCTTTTTCCAACAATAGGTAGCTTTTCCTCAACAATAGCAGGTGAGTTCATCCATACACACCACTGAGAAGACAGAGGGCTGTCACTGCCCTGGCAGAGTATGCATACGCTCTCCCCCAGCCTTAAAACCACTATGAATGGGCATGTTTACCTTCTTCCTCGTCTGGCACTGCCAGCCACTGTATCAGGCTGAAGAGCAGGAGGATTACCAGGCAGGCCATACCAATCCCTCGGAAGGTCGAAGCAGCCCCTGTGAAAACAGTGGATGCTATAGAGTAATTCTGGGTGAGGCATGATGGCCTTGTTCCAAAGCCTGGGGCCAAGGCAGCAGAGCTGGGGATGACCCAGAGCAAAGCAAATAATTATCAGCTTTCTAGAATACCAAAAACACAGGGCTGACAAGGTGCCACGACCCTAGTACCAGCAACACTAGATCTGTTATTGATCCATTTTTTAATTGTATTTATAAAGGACTGCCTCGAAATGCTTTTCATCATAAAATTCAGTGGTATTTTCTTCATAAAGGCCAACCACCTACTGAACAGCCCTATAAATCTACAGAGGGGATGGCAATGCTCAGAGGGCTATAAATTCTGACATCCGACCTCTCCTGCTAGTTGGACCTTCTGACGAAGTCATCTATCAAGCAGTGAAGATGTTGGCTGAGCACTCAAGATCTGAAGCAGATCATTCATCTCTGCCCCAGGCTCTGAAGTCCCCACAAAGAAGATTTGACAGTTCTCACAGAAGTCGTGAGATTTACAAGGCCAGCCTACAGTTAAGAATTTTCTGGTTCAAAATTGCCAAATTTTCACAACAATGAACATCCCCTCTCTGGCATTATATCAGCAGGTTTAGGAAACTTTCCTTCTAGCTAGAAGCCTGTGCTTATTCATTTGTTGTGCTCCTTTGAGGTATCTGTGTAGCTTTCGTATAGCTCTTTGTCAGAGAAGTGTAGATCATTTAAGACAAGCTCTTTTCACCTTAAATGATTCAATCACGCTACTTTATAGCTGTGATTTTCATGGAGTTCAGGAAAAGAACATGAAAAGTGGGGTTCAGCTTCTGGTAAGCTTGAGAAATAATCTGTATGTCTACAGAGTTGTTGCTGAAAATCCTTATATTTGCATAAAAACTAGGAAAAAAGGGAAAGCCATTCTTACCGAAATAGTTGACTAGCACGCCTCCAATCATGGCCCCACAGCCACGGCCCAAGCCCAGGTGTAGGCCCTGCAGGATGCCCTGAGCTGAAGTCCTCAGCTCTGGGGGAACCGCAGCACTGAGGTAAGAGATACAAGCTGCCCAGATGGCTGCGTGCGTCACCCCTAGGGAGTTAGGACAGAGGCACCATCAGCATCATTTTTTTAAAACCTGATTACAATGCTATAAGGTAAGAATTTTGTTATTGAGTCATCATGAGATACACTGTTACAAAGTTTTATTCATGATTGAGTTTCAGTCAAACAGGGTTGCAACACCTGTCCCTTCTTAGAGTACACATTTCCCATGATCCGTTTCTTCAGTTTCCCTCCTGTCATGCTCCCAGACTGCCTCAATGGCAGACACTCCTCTCTTGCTCTCTCACTTGCGTGCACGAGCTCTCTCTCTCTCTCGCTCTCTCTCGCTCTCTCTCTCTCTCGCTCTCACTCTCACTCTCTGTCCTTTATTTTGCCCCATTCTGAATTCAGATGCATACAGTAGGGCGTTTGCCTTACAAGCGGCCAACATGGCCAACCCGAGTTCGATTCCTCCGCCCCTCTCGGAGAGCCCGCCAAGCTACCGAGAGTATCTCGCCCGCACAGCAGAGCCTGGCAAGCTCCCCGTGACGTATTCGATATGCCAGACACAGTAACAACAAAGTCTCCAATGGAGACGTTACTGGGCCCGCTTGAGCAAATCAATGAACAATGGGAGGACCGTGACCGTGACATTTCATGACAATACACATGCCTGTAGCACTGTAGTATTGTCCTCCTGTTGTTCATCGATTTGCTTGAGTGGGCACCAGTAACATCTCACAACAAATTGTGAGACTTGTTACAGTTTTTGGCATATCGAATACGTCACAGGTAGCTTCGTCGTGTGGGCGAGATACTCTCTGTAGCTTGCTGGGCTCTTCGAGAGGGGAAGAGGAGTCAAACCCAGCTCAGCCATGTGCAAGGCAAATGCCCTACCCTCTGTGCTATCAATCCAGCCCACACATGTCTAATAAAAATACTTTTAATTTGTGGTAAGTATACCTAACTCAAAATGTACCATTTTGCTGGTATAGCTCAGCAATGTTAAGCATGTCCACAGTGTTCTGCAGTCATCACCACCATCCACTTCCAACATATATTTTTTCTTCTTCCTGCAGTGTCAGGAATTAAACCCAAATATGGCACAGACCCGAACACTGAGCCTCATCTCTAGCCCTACTCCACCATTCTTGTTTGTTTTTGTTGTCCCAAAATGACACGTCTGTACTCACTAAACAATAACCTCCCACGGTCTGGGAAGCAGCTATCTACCTTCTGTCTCTATAGATCTGAGTACTCTAGGTACCTCAGTAAGTAAAAGTACCCGGTATCTGTCCCTCCAGGCCGGTCTTATTTCACTTGGCATAATGTCCTCACAGTTCATCAACACTGTACCACATGTCAGAATTTCCTTCCTTTATAACACTGGTATCTCACTGTATATTGCTAATACATTCTGTGGTTGTGTTGATGGCCAAGGTTATCACTTCTTTTTGGATGCTGTGAAAGTCTGCTGCTATGCATCTGCTGTGCTGATACTTGAGTCCCTGCTGTCAATTCTAATTTTTACTTTCTGCAGTGCCATGGACTGAAGGCTGCAAAGGCAGGTGCTCTACCACTGAGACACATCCTCAGCCCCCAGCAGCTGGCAGTTCTCTTGTGGACATAGTCAGAATTGGAATTACTGGGTCATATAGTGATATGTTTAATATTTTAAAGTACTACCTGACTGTTTTTCACAGTAACTGCACCAATTAACATTTCCACCAGAAACCCACAATATTTATGTTGTTATCTTTTTTTTAATAATCACAATTCTAATGGATGTGAAACAATATCTCATTGTGGTTTTACTTCCTAATGGCTAGTGATATTGAGTTATTTTAAAAATGTGTTCATTGGACATTTTAAATATTTTCTTTGGGGAATGTTGAATTTCTTTGCCCAGTTTTTGAATTGGGTTATCTGATTTGTTATCAACTTATAGTAATTGTTTTTCACACAGAACACACCTATTTTGGCAATAAGAATATTTTCAATAATTTTTCCAGATAATTAGCACCATGATTAACATTTCTTGGGATACAGCTATTTATCTTCAATGATTTACATTTACTGTAATTCTATAAATGTAGTTCAATTGTTATTCAAAGGAGATAACAACTTTATGCCTTTTAATATACAGTTCCAATTTATTTTCTAAGTGTATATAGAAGCCATTTATAATGCCTCATTACCAGTTTCATTATATTTTCACCACTTGTTAGGAAGGAGGAGCTGAAGATAACAATGGGGAAAATGGGTCATTATTTGAATGTAGAGCCAGTGTGTATTGACCAAATTTAAATCTTTATTACAGTACTGCTTTAAATGTAATCAGGATTATTACAATGGTTTTGATAGGTAAGAGGTATTAAGAAACTACCAAGGTCAAGTAAATTAACCATGGGCTTGCTCCCTGAGAAATAATCTCATCTGGATATAATATAATGAGAAATTCTGAACCTATGTTTTGGAAACCTAACCTAAAAGATTAATATTCAAGTAAGGTTTAATCTGACATTAGTCTGCTTTTAACTAAAATTGTGTATAACAAGAGCTGGATTTATCCTCTTCCCCCAAATCATTAAAACCTAGACAAAATATATGAAACAATCATTGTTTTCAAGATACAAGACGTCAGCACAAGAACAGAGGACCCAGAGATCACTGGGAAACAAAGAAGGCCCTGGCTTGCTGCAGGCAGGGCTAGAAACCCACCAGGCACCCAGAGGAACCACTAAGTTTTAGAGATGAGTTCTGGGGAGATCAATGCAGGCAGTGCTGGAGGGAGATGACCACATAATGCGAAAACTCCAGAGTGCTGTCTGCGCAGGGCTTCTCCCAAGAATGCAGCAAATCACTTATTAGCAAAAGCAGGTGTCGGAACTATCCGTACCCAGGAAAGAGCTGCCCAAAGCATGACAGGAAACAGTATCCCAATGAGTGACAGGAATAAATTCTGTTTCCATATACCAGTCCAAGGAAACTAAAGATTTATGTTTTTGCTGAAGTCCTCATAGGGTCTTACGTCAGCCTTCCAGAATCATTAGCCCTGTATAAGCCCTGTCCTGATCCTGCATAAGCAGTTTTTAGGGACAGACATAAAATTATTGCACCCATTTGTGGAATATAAAATAACAAAGTATCAGACTAACACCCAAGGACAGTAGAGACAAGAGCTAAGAGGATTGCTCCAGGGTTGGAAGCCTGCCTCCTGTGCTGGGGTAGAAGGCAGTTGGGAAAGAGAAAGGATCACTAAGTCAATGATGGTTGGAAGGATGGCTCGGGATGGGAGATGTTTGCTGAAAGTAGTTAAAGGGCCAAACATGACAGCCACTCAGTATGTGTATTGCAAACCATAATGCCCAAAAGTAGAGAGAGAGAGTAAAAAAGGAAAGTTCCTGCCATAGAGGCAGGGGGTGGGGTCAGGTGAGGTGGTGGGAAGGATACTTCCATGGAGGGATGGGTGTTCAATCATTGTATGACTGAAACTCAACCATGAAAGATTTAAAACTGCATCTCATGGTCATTCAATTAAAAAAAAAAGCAATATCCAAAAGGCTCATACTAGTTTCAGGTGAACTTAGCTGCATCCAGTACAAAACTTAATTTTATAGGAATACAAAAATATTCAGCTCCCAACAAGGTAAAATTCACAATGTGTCTGACATACAATTCCGCTACCAGAGCTGGTCTTACTTAAGTAACTCCATATGGAATGATAGTGGAAACATTATGCTCTAGAGTTAACAGAAAAACACCAAAATAATATTTCTTGGAGCGAAAGAAAGTCCATGGGGTAAGGCTCTTCTTGCCTTGCACTTAGCCTACCTGGGTTCAATCTCTGGCTCTGTATATGTTTCCTCAAACCCCACCAGGAATGAGCCCTGAGAGCAGTCAGGAGTAAGAGTTGAGCACAGTGAGGTATGGCCCCAAAACAAAATAATAACAATAATAATAATAATAACAGCAGTAGATAAGGAGGCAACCAGCCTTAGAGGGAATTTTTTTTACAGATATATATATCTCAACCTTGAACAACATGTTAGTGATCTCTTATAGAAGGGCATAATAGCCCCTAGGTGACATACAACAATCTCATACTCTTTCCTCTAAGGATACTTTTTAGTAGCATTTTCAGCTGTTTTTCATAATAAACAATACAAAACATACTATTTCAGTTCTGCTTTGGGGCAGGGATTGGGGTTCGGGATGGAAACATTCGAAATATGTTGTTGGGAATGTGTAATGGTTGTGGGATTGGTGTTTGAATATTAAATGTAAACAAATATTGTTAACTACTTTATAAAATTAAAAAATAACAAAAAATTTAAAATTAAATTTTAAAATAAAAAATAACAGCAATATATTATATACAATATACTGTTATACATTGTATCTATTGCTATTATACATATTATATATTATATTATGTATAATAGCAATAGATACAATTATATATATATCATGCAAGGCAAATGCCCTACTCACTGTACTCTCCCTCCAGATCAATAACATAAATTATTTTCATTTTATATGTTTCAGTAATCATTTCAACTAGATTATTCTTTAACTAGAAAGAAGGGCTAGATGATTAGATTAGTATGCATGCACACTTAATTTCTACAAAAATCAAGTAACATATTTGCTTTATCCGACTAAACAATTCCAATTCCTTCGTGTCAGCTTTCACAAAAGTAAATAAGGCCTGGATAGAGTCTTAATTATAAAAGTTGACACAGCGGTACATAATAGAAATATGTAAGTGCACTCATTTACATTATGAAAGAGACTGATAACTTCATTTCTTTTCAGATAAGTCTATTTTTTCATGAGCAATAGTAAAGAATAAAGCTCAAACCTATTCCAAGAAGAAAAATGAATTTATCTAAAATTGACTAAATTTACTGAAAACATCCAACATAGGTTTAAGTAAACTATTTCTTAAACATGAATTATTAAAGACCCCAAGCCACATCGAATGGCTGTACATTCGATTTTTGAGTATAGGGCCTCCCAAGTGGTGCTCAGGGAGCCTCCCCCGG